CAGAGCTGATAAAATTCTAAATCTGAAGTCTTCAAATTCTATGTTTCTTCTAAACATTATGTATTGTGATTAAATCCAAATACCAGTTAGCTCCTGGAGGACAGGGATATATTTGCCTTATTTTATTTTTTTTTGAAGAGTAACTATGTCAGTTTCAAGAGTAACTAGGTATCTCAGGATAAGAAACAAAACAACAAAAACACACACAAAATACTGTAGTCTTGCCCATAAATGCATCTCAGTGTTGGCAATCTCACCCTTGGTAATGTTTTCACTTCCCTGGATGGGTCACACAGCAGCATCCTAAAATGACCCAATGATGTGGTCATTACTATGGGCGAAACAGCCAGACTGGCCCTGCCCCCACCCAATGTCTTCAGATTACTGCAGATGAACTTTCAAAGCTAATCTCCCTAACGCTTATGAGTCATTTCCTGAGATGAGGAACACAGCCAGCTGGGTCAAAACCATACATGCTGTGTTCTCTGAATTTCAAGATGCTACTGAATCTGACCTCTGGTTTCCATGTATTTCCAGAGATTAGCATGCAGTCAACGTCCCCGTGACAACAAACTCGGAGCTTGATTTTCACTTTATAGGGATGCTGCCACAACTAGAATCTACTGTTGTTTTCAACTATCTCTTGGTCTGATGGCCTGAACTTTTGCTCAGCAAGAGCCTGTCTTGCAGCTGGCTGGAAACCAGACCTCACACAGAGCTTTCCGATCTGTGGGCCACACCCTACCTGATGACTTAAATCAGTTGCTACTGCTTCAAGACATAGATCCCTTTAGCTGTGAAACAGCTAGAAACCCAATGTGGTGGCCTGCAGCTGTGAGCCATCTGTTTACCACTGTTGGCTTTACAATCATTACCAGTTTCTCTGTCTTCTAAGTCAATAAAGTTGGCAAATCTTGCATAAGAGCAGTGGTTCTCAAATGTCGTTAGCGCAGAACACTTTAATACATTTAAAATTATTGAGGACCACAGAGAGCCTTTGTTTATGTGGGTTATATCCAGCGGTGTGCTGGAGTCCACCTGTATCCACTCACAAGAATTCAGTCAATATTAAGGAATTTTTCAAGCTAACTGTTAAACTATTTGGAACTTGAAGTTGGCAGTGGAAGGAGTATTTACACCATGGAAATTGGCAAATGCTACAAATCAGGGCTTTTTGTCTTTTCCTAGAGATCTGCTTTACCAGCATACCATTGATTTTATTTACTAATATTTTCCATATTAGACATTAAAATGAAGAACTTCTGAAACTATTTATTTCAGCTAAAAATAATAAACCCATTACATATTAACATAAATTGCATATTTTTCATAATTTTTTCCCCAAACAATAATTTAATGAGGAGAGTTGCATTGTTTTACATTTTTGCAATCTCTTTAATGGCTGGCTTAATAGAAGACAGTTGGATTTTCACATCTGCTTCTGCATTTAATCTGTTGCACTATCACAGTTGGAAAACTCAACTGTACACTTGTGAGAGCATCAGACCAAATAAGGCAAATAGCCTTAGTGTCGGCTGAGTGTGGTGGCTTATGCAGTAATCCTGGCACTCTGGGAGGCCGAGGCAAGAGGATCACTTGAGGTCAGGAGTTTGAGACCAACCTTAGCAAGAGTGAGACCCCCATCTCTAACAGAAAGAAATTAGCCAGACAACTAAAAATAGAAAAAATTAGCTGGGCATGGTGGCACATGCCTGTAGTCCCAGCTACTGGGGAGGCTAAGACAGGAGGATCACTTGAGCCCAGGAGTTTGAGGTTGCTGTGAGCTAGGCTGATGCCACAGCAACAGAGTGAGGCTCTGTCTCAAAAAACAAAACAAAACAAAACAAAACACCAAAAAAAAAAAAAAAAAAGTCTTAGTGTTTTAAGAGAGTTCTGACCTTGTAGATCTCCTGAAAGGGTCTCAGGGACTGTGAGAATCACTGCACTGGAACATTTCTCCTCTCTCCTCAGATTGCAACTCACTTTACTGCACCTCCTTTATAAAGCACAATTAGGTTTATCCTGTGGTCAATTTCTTTCCATGCACATTTGGTCTAGTCATTTTGAAAGGCATAGCCACGCAGCATGGTAATTATGCCAGCAAATTACCATTTGTGACTGTGTTTTCCCCCTTAATTTTCCCCACAGCACTACGTGAAGATAAGCTACTAGTGGAAGGTCCAGGCCTCAGAAACTTGGTCATAAACACTGCGTAACCTTTTCCACTTTGCTTCTGGAGCTCAAGACTTCCTCAAGGACATGCCAACAGTTTTAATTTCTTAAATTCAAAGGTATAACCTAAAATTTTCCAAGTGTATATTCAACAGCCAAATATTCCATTTCCTTAAAAATGCTATTTTTGACTTGGTGGAAAAACATTTCTGTGTTAAGAAAATTCAAGTGTGTTTTTCTGAACTGAAACAGATTTTGAAAAATAATGATAGAAGAGTTTAAAGGTCACTTTCTGGTTTGAGTGAGGATCCTGTTTCTGGTGGCCGTGAGTGGAGATGACCATCTGACTTCATTTAATATAGCTATTTCTGAAGCATGTGTGGGGAGTCCAGGCTCAAAAACTTGAACAGTTTTGGTGTTAACTTAAAAATTCTGTGTTAACAAAATTCTTGTTTAGTTGAAATAATTTTTCCATCGACTACAAATCTAAAAAGACTTTATTCATAAGTTTTTTTGACTTTTCAACTCTTGAGGAACTTGTCATTTTGCTTTAAATTTCCCCTCCTCCCCTCTGCCTGAGGGAGTGTTAGGTGGCAAAGGATTGTTGTCACTGGGGCAGGGAAGGCAGCAAGGTATGGGTTTCCTCCCTGCTCTCACAGTTAATTTGTTTTTCTCTCACCAGGAAAGAACTGCAGACACTGTCCTTTACACCTATAATCTAGGAATCTGAATATATTCTCAATGATATAACCTTGAATTTAGCTAAGAAGGGGGAGAGGGAGAGAGAGCGGGGGGAGAGGGAGAGAGAGCGGGGGGAGAGAGAGAGAGAGAGAGAGAGAGAGCACTAATCACTCAATGCTTTTGGCAGAAATGGTGCTTTTTTTTTCTCTATTCTTTCAGACCCATTCTCCATACCCAAGAAAGCTGATCTCTATGGACTCCTTGGCCTCTGGGTTCTGGGGTGGTAACAGCTTCCCTTAATTGGTAGTCTCTGTGGTGCTTCACTGTCCCCGGTTGGTTCCCTTAAACCTGCCCATGCCTCTCCAAATTACCTCTTCATTAAACATTCTTCAGTAAAATCCTTAAAGTGTGCCTGGGTCAGAAAGATACAATAATAATTTATTCTAAACAGACACCAAGCAAATTTTCATGTTTATTAATATAGGTTACATGTTTAAGAGTACACATAAAACAGTGACATAATATTTTATAAGTACAGTAATGATAGTCATATTAATATTTTAATATATACAGACTGAATAAACAATGACAGTAAATCTCCACTGATTTAGATAATGTGAATATAGTAATAACCACATTAATAAAATCAGTGCTAGCTTCTACTTACAATACAGTTACATTACTTTTATGTAAATTAATCTATGGGATATGGAAAATAGTTTGTTCTTTTAAATAAACATTTGCCTTGCAATGTTCCCCCTTTTTCTTTATTTAAAATGCCACTATTTTTTCATAAGTATAAAAAGATACGTTTGAACTAATTTTCAAATTAATTTGTCAAGTCCATAAAGATTTTCTATACTCTATACTTATCAAGGGGTTGAAAAATGCTTTTAAAACAATCTCATTAACTCTTAAAAAATGTAAATGGACAGTACAGAATAATTTTCCTAAATTTCAATTTCAACTCTTTCTTCTGTTATTTCCAACTAGACTGACATAATCAATTTTTAAAAGGACACCTGATTTGAGTAATCTATTTTTTTTTTTTTTTTTTTTTGAGACAGGGTCTCACTCGGTCACTGAAGCTGAAATGCAGTGGCGCAATCACAGCTCACTGCAGCCTCCAACTCCTGGGCTCCCATGATCCTCCTGCCTCGGCCTCCCAAAGTGCTGGGATTACAGGCATGAGCCACCACGCCCGGTGCTGATTTGTACATGTCCTGTATTGTGCTATGTTTTCATCTTAAGTTATAACCACAGGAAGCAGTAACCCCAATGTTCAAAGTAACCCAAATCTTCAAAGCTGACAGGCCTTGCTTGTGTGGAACATGCTTGTTGACAGCTGGCTAAAAGCACTCTTTGACATGACATATTGATTATGGCTACATCACATTATATCCATGCATAGTCTACTTTGCTCTTCTTGAGGGCAGGTCTCAGTCTTATTCCACTCTGGACGCTGGCACCCATCAGAGTGCTCATAGCATGTAACAGGTGTTTCTATGTGAGAAGCCTTGCAGGACAACTGCTGGACATGAGCATGCCTTCTTTCTCTGCTCTTGAGAGGGGGTACAAAGGCTTTCATGGTCATTACCTCCTAGGATAGTGCATTCTGCGTTGCCAGTTTCTAATAAATGTGATCAGTTCACAGCCAGCCCTTGGGGGAACTCCAGAAGGATGGAGCAAACCCGGTGGTCCCAATCTCGCTGCTCTCCAGAGGCTCCACTGAAGGGTTTCTGGCCAGTCTGTGTCTGACGAGGTCCTGCCATGTATCTGCTGCTTAGAGCTCTCCATCAGGGGTGGACGCATGCAGCTTTCAGGGGTGGGCTACTCTGAAAGCCAGCCTGTGGTCACTAGTGGCACTTATGCTCAGTCTTGGTTTACATTTATAGTGTGTAAAACATCAAAAATGCTACCCATATAAAAACTAGGGCTTTCAATCTATTTCAATAATTTTAAGAAACCAAACTTTGAAATGTTTAAAACACTAGAACTTTTTCTATACACAGATAGTACTAAGCCTTATCCCTCAATAACTTAAACATTGCTGTCAAACAATTTCAAAATACACTTATTTGCAAAAGCCGTATAAGTCCAAACTATGGAATCCCTCGCTACTGATGGACACCTTCAGATGTTCACAGCTAAACTTCACTAACCTAGACTTTGCATGTAAAATCAGAGAATCAGAGATTATTTCTGTAATCGCCGAGGGAGAAAAAGAGAGAGTTTCAAAGTGCCTATTCTATATCGCACTGCAAATAATACATGTGTGCATACGTATGTATGTATATAATAAGTCACTGAGATATATCAAGAAGTGACATTCAGCTATTAACACAGCCTTGGCAATACTCCCTTGTAATAACAACATCGTCTTCTATTCTTGTTATCTTTTCCAGTGATTAACAAAAATATATGCTTGATGGCTCTCATAAGAAGCAGGCGTGCAAATGATACACTGTTGTTTTAGGTGGTGAAGTAAATACAGTTTAGGCAGGTGCTAACAGAATCCTCAGGCAATTCACTTTTTTAACCTTTTCTTTTTAACCGACCAGCAGTCCCTTTTCCTAAGTTAACAGCTTTTTGTATATGCTATTGTTCAGGTTGCTAGAGCAGGTGTCCATTTTACTTGCCATCAGCTGACCACTGCTGTTGTAACTGCTGGGATCCGAGCTTTCTTTGCAGCACAGGAGACTGCACAGGTATCTCTGGCACTCAGAGGACGCGTAATAGTAAATCAAGGGATCAATGCAACAGCTTATGCTGCTGACGCAGACACAGAGGAGGTAGGCAAAGTAGGCGGCCTCCGTCGAGGAACTGCGAGAAAGGAATGAATAATGCACAATCAGGAGGATGTTTGTGGGTCCGAAGCAAACGATGAAGACGCAGAAAACAGCAGCTGACAGGAACAAAGCCCGGGACTTCTTGCTTCGGTTGGCAACTGTGGAAGAGCTAAGACATCGAATGATAGACACATAACAGACTGTGGAAATGATCAACGGCACAAAAAAGAAGACAGCAGAGAAGGCTGAGAAGTAATAGGCATAATAGCCCTCGAGCAGGGTTTCGTTGAGCACATCGTGACAGGTGGTGATGTTGATGCCCGGCACCTGGGTGGTCTGCTCCTTGAGGAGCAGAGGCACCACCCCCGCGATGGCCATAGCCCAGATGGCCAGACACGTGATGGAAGCCCTTCCCAGAGTACGCCAGGACAGGGACTGGATGGGATACACCACAGCCAGGAACCGGTCAATGCTTATGACTGTCATGAGCATGATGGAGGCATACATATTACAGTAGAACGCTGCAGTGACGAAGCGACACATTTCGGACCCGAACTGCCAGTCGCTGCCGGAAAAGTAATAGCTGATCTTAAAGGGGAGCACGGACACAAAGAGCACGTCAGCCGTGGCCAGGTGTAACATGTACACCACCGCCGGCTTCTTGACTTTCATCTTCAAGATGAACACCACGATGGCCATGATGTTGAGCGGAAGACTTACTATAAACACGCCCGTGTAAACGGAGGGGACAAAGAGAGTCAGCCAGGGGCTGGTCAGATATCCGGAGGCATCTTTCGAGATGAACACAGGGGGCGGTTTCTGAAGAGCACTGCTTTTATTGATGGAGATTAACCTGTGTTCTGTTAACCCACTTTCATTTTTCTCCTCGTCCTCCCCCAGTGGGAACGGTTCATATCTGTCATTGAGATTTCTGAGAAGAAATGACCGGGGATCCACAGTAGCATTTGTTGCTTTTGACTCTGAAAAATAAAATTTTAAGATAAAAAAAAAAAGTGAATGAATTAAAAAGACAAAAGAGACAAGTAGAGAGCATATTTTACTTTTGTTTATTTTTTGTTTTATTAGGAGAGTGGGTGGTAAAGAGCAGGTGATGCGCAAATAGCCATTATCAGAGAATAAGCTAACTTGAAATATGAAATAGGGTGCCACATTTTATTGTGATGTAAGCAAACCCTTTTAAAACTCTGCTCCTTAAAGGGACAAAGGTGAATGATATGCTTTCAGAGAGCTACCCTGCAGACATCAAGAAATTCTTGACATGAAGGAATCGAGCAGTGATTTCTTTTCCACACTAGCCACTGTCTACATAAACAAATCACTCCCAGCTCCTATGACTTCTCTTTCCTCCACATGCCTTCACAGGCACATTTTCTCTTTAGTTTGCAGCTATCCCACGAAACCCATCCCCTCAATAGAAAAATCCACATAGAAAGCGACAGGACTTCTTACATGTTATGGAGCTAGAGGCAAATTCAGAGCAGGACCTGGGACTCCCAGTTCTATGTCCAATGTCCTGGGACAGTAGTTTTCCTCCACTCTTTTGGTTTGCTGACACAGTACAAGGTAGCAATCTGTCATCCTAGCTGGGGCCAAACCACAGTGCCTCGGGTTATCTCCTAACATAGCCACAAGGTATCTGTCACCTCAGGCATTGTCCTGCTTCCTTCCTGAGCTGGTTAACAGCAGCAGATGTTCTGGGCCACTCACACCAGGCTGATGGCCTCCTTTGGCTGGGTTCTAGAATGCTGCATGCCTCAAGGTGCACGCCAGGCCAATCGGGGTCTTTGGAGTATCAACCAGGTGTCAAAATAAAGGCTCAGCTGTACACATCCTCCCCGCAAAAAGATGCATTTGAAATGTTCATCAAAGAAAAGCAACACTTAGCAGCTGGAATCCAGTCAGCTTTTCTTCCCAAGAAGCTTTGCTAAAATTCTGCCACTGAAGAGAAATGACAAAGAGCCTTTGTTGGGCCTCGGGAAACAGAGGAGGGAAGAGACAATATGTCAGGTTTTAGTCTGGAATGTCGGTTCTTAGTGCACTCATGGCTGAAGAATAACCAGACATACCAAAGTAAGGCAAGCATGAGGTGAAGTTTATTGAGGGGGAGCAAGATAGGATTATAGAGCAAGAGCAAGACATAGGTTTACAAGGCATGATACATACACCACAGATGATGACTGGACCCCTTGTTGCTGCAGAAAAAGAAAGCTTGGTTATGGTCTGGGTCTTGTTTTATGGTGTCCGGATATGGTGTTCAAAACGTCACCATAGAACCACTTTGACTGGACAGTTGGGGAGCTGCATGACCCGGATCTTACTGTGCATGTGAGTTCTAGGTCACTTTCCAGACTTTATAGTACCCATGCAGCTTGGCCCGTCAGCTAGAGAGTCCTCTGCATTCTTTCGCAGCTGGTGTGCCAAGTTCTGATTAGCAGATTTGTAGAGTATTCCTTCCTCCCCCAGGTATGGAGAATTAGGGTGGGGCAGGACCAAGATGGGGGCAACAGCATCCACTTTAGTCCCTTGGAGACCCAGAATCCCTCACTATCTACCTAACAAAACCACAGAGGAAAAAGGGCAAGGTCTCTATCACTGGAAGCGTTCACAACAAAGGCTGGATATGCAGGTCACTTACAAGTGATGTTAGAGGATTTAAAAATTGGCAGTAAGTTGGACAAGTACAGTGGATTTTCAAACTTTTGGTTTAGTTTTTCAGCAGTGGAACTCTTTCTGTAAACAGAAACTTATAGAGAGAGGCATAACGCAGTAGAAGAGAGAGCTCTGCTTCTGGTTCAGCTCTGTGAGGTCCTACCAGATCCAATCATCCCTTAGATAAAAACGATAAACTCTAAACTTCCTCCGTACCCTCTGTCCTCCAATCAATGATCTGAAGGCATTTAGGTTTATAGGGTGGTAGAAGGAGAGAATGGAGGAGAGGAGGGGTGAATCTTGGAAGAAAGAATAGAACCTGGTAATTCTCTTGTTTTCAGTGACTTTTAGCTTGAAAGGCCAATGTCAGTGCCTGTGATGTTGTGAAATATATATTTGGGCTTTCTCTTCATTTCCTGACATATAGCTTTTAAAATCCTTGTAATCTCTGCAAAGATGAGTGTCTTTTATATGCTAATGAGAAAAACTGATGGCTGGCGGCCCCTAGATAGCTTCAGGATGGGGGCTGAGCATGCAAAAGACCAAGGCAGGATTAGAGAGTTGTGACTTTCAGCTCCACCCCCCAACCTCCAGGGACAGGAGAGGAGCTGAAGGTTAAGTTGGTCACCAATGGCCAATGATGTAATTTTGTGGATGAAGCCTCCATAAAACCCCAAAAGGACAGGATTAGAGGTAGGGATTCTGGATAGCAAACAGGAGGAGTTCCTGGTGGGTGGCGCCCCAGAGAGGGCATGGAAGCTCCATACCCCTTCCGACATACCACATGCATCTCTTCCATCTGGCTGTTCATCGGTATCCTTTGTAATAGCCTTTACAATAAACCAGTAACTGTAAGAAAAGTGTTTCCCTGAGTTCTGTGAGCCACTCTAGCAAATTAATTCAATCTAAGGAGGGGGCCATGGGAATGCCTGGATGGATGGTCAGAAGTTCTGGAGGACTGAGCCCTTAACTTGTGGGATCTCACTGTATCTCCATGAAGACAGTGTCAGAATTGAGTTAAATTAGAGGATACCTAGCTGCTGGTGTCTGCAGGAAAATCTGCCAGAGAATCAATTGCTTGCTGTGTGGGAAATACCCCTCCAAATATCTGGTGTCGGAAGAACTGAGTGGGCGGGGCGCGGTGGCTCACGCCTGTAATCCTAGCACTCTGGGAGGCCGAGGCGGGTGGATTGCTCAAGGTCAGGAGCTCGAGACCAGCCCGAGCAAGAGCGAGACCCCGTCTCTACTAAAAAATAGAAAGAAATTATTTGGACAACTAAAATCTATATAGAAAAAAAATTAGCCGGGCATGGTGGCGCATGCCTGTAGTCCCAGCTACTTGGGAGGCTGAGGCAGTAGGATTGCTTGAGCCCAGGAGTCTCAGGTTGTTGTGAGCTAGGCTGATGCCACAGCACTCACTCTAGCCTGGGCAACAAAGTGAGACTCTGTCTCAAAAAAAAAAAAAAAAAAAATGGGCAAAGGACCTGAATAGACATTTCTCAAAAGAAGAAAATAAATGGCCAAGAGGTACATTAAAAAATGCTTAACATCACTAATCATCAGGGAAATGAAAATTAAAACCACAATAAGATACCACTTCACACCTGTTAGAATGGCTGTTATCAAAAAGACAAAACATAGTAAGTGTTGGTGAGGATGTAGAGAAAACAGAACCTGTGTATACACTGCTGGTGTGAATACAAATTAGCACAGCCATTATGGAAAATAGTATGCAGGTTGTACAATAAATTGAAAATAGACTATTGTATGATCCAGCAATCCCACTATTGGGTATATATTCAAATGAAATAAAATCAGTATGTCAAGAAGATATCTGCACTCCCATGTTCACTGCAGCATTATTCACAATAGCCAAGATTTGGAATCAACCTAAGTGTCCACTAACACATCAATGGATAAAGAAATTGTGCTTATACACAATGGAATACTATTCAGCCTTAAAAAAAGAAGAAATCTTGTCATTTGCAACAACATTGATGAACCTGGAGGACATTACGTTAAGTGAAACAACTCAGGCACAGAAAGACATACACTGCATAATCTCACTTATTATACACAGAATATAAAAAAGTCGAACTCATAGAAGCAGAGAGTAAAATGGAGGCTACCAGAGGCTGAGGGAGGTGAGTAGATTGGGGAGACATTGGTTAAAGGATACAAAATTTCAGTTAGACAAAAGAAATAAGTTCAAGAGATCCACTGTAAAACATGATTACTACAGTTAATAACAATGGATTGTATATTTGAAAATTGCGTACAGTGGAAATTTTAAGTGTTCTCAGCCCCCAAAATAAGTATTTAATGTAATGCGTATGTTAATCAGCTTCATTTAACCATCCCACAATGGATACATATTTCAAAACATCACATTGTACAAAATAAATATATATAATTTTTTGTCAATTAAAAAAGAAAGAAAGAAAAGAAAAAGAAGAATCAGAAAAGTATGACCCAGTCTCAAGTAAAAAGACAATCAATGGAAACCCATTTCAAGATGAGTCAAATACTGGAATTAGCAGATAAGGATTTTATAGAGTGTATTACAACTACGCACAATAAAGTAAAGAAACCTATTCCATTGAAATGAATGAGGACATAGGACATAGAAGTAAAAAACTAGCAAATGGAAGTTCTAGAACTAGAAAATTAAATACGACTTGTTGGTATCTATTTCCAAAACGAAGAGCAGAGCTAGAGTAGAAGCAACTGAGAGACAGGGCCGAGCCTGGCAGTATAAGGCTGAGGTCAAAGTACCTCAGCAAGGCCATGAGTGGGTCCCCAGAGGTGAAGGGTGGCCTGCAGATCTGTCACAGGGACAGGACAAATGTCTCCAGTGACAAGTGTCTGAGTACACATTTGTGTCTAGATTGATCCTCAAAGATAAGACCTACTCCTATCAATCTCTGAATCTCCAGTACAGAGCCCTGCACATGGTAGGCACTCCTTAAACTTGTCACATATTTCCACTCTAATATCGGTTCTGCCAGGAGTCACTTAACCTCTCTGAACTCAGCTCAGAATCATTTAAATGGGGTTCTGACACCTGTCTGGCCTACAAATCTGGCAGCTAGGAGCATCCCCTGTGAAACAGAACATAAACTCACTTGGACACTATAAAAATTAAGCAATGTAAGAAACTACATTGCTTTTTATCATCCTTTCCCTCCCACTTCCATGTAGTGTGCTTTTAGACCCAGTTGTTTGCTCACTCAATTATTCTAAATTACAATGAAATCTAGGCTCCTCTTCTATGCTATATTTAGCAACGTTTAGTTTTTCAGTATGAGGA